ATATATATATCATTCCTAACGTTTTTGACTTTATTTTATTTTTATAAATTACTTTTAGAAACTATTGACAAAACCGGATAAACAATAAACGTGAATAGGTTGGTGGGTGGTAGTGGGAGGGAGGTTGATGTAGAATAATATTAGTAAAGGATCAATTTGAAAGGCAATTTGAAAATCAATCTCGACTCAGGGATGTAGTTTGAAAGGGGTTGGGGAAGGGGTGGAAGGTTAGGGAGTGAGAATGGATGGATGGATGGATGGGTTTAGACGTAAAGGTAAAGGTAAAGGTAAAAAGTCAAAAATTTGGCATGCGGTTTATCGGAAATTCAGTGACACAAACCAACTACACGGTAGGTGGTGGGAAGGGGAGGAGGTAGGAGGTAGGAAAAGAGGGTGAGGTTAAACTAAAACAAACATGAGGAATATAACGGGAGTATAACGCGCTTCATGGACGTTCTATCGTTAGTTTGGTTTATCTTTGTTGTTCAACGATGCGATAATAAATATTTCTATGCTCGATAGAGCACCTCATCATCGATAATATCACTGTGCCGGGTTGATTATAATCTAAACGGCTCGTACCTATCGAATTTTATTAACACCGAGGATACGCGTGTTCTAGTTCCATGAATGTCAATGGGAGTGGGGGGAGGAAATAAAGTCAATGTGTGTCTAGTTATATTCTAGGATCGTTTCTATATACATGTATACACATAGATACATGTATATATATGTTTATATCTCGATTATATTAATAATGATAATGATAATAATAATAAACTATAACTATGGGGATTGTTGATACATGAAAATCTTTCACACGTATCTATTATTATTGTTCATTCGTATTAATATAATACGTATGAATCACGCTTATTTTAATCTAAGATTAATTTGAAATATTGTGATAAATATAAATGATTTGTCTTTAAAGAAATATGACAGATTAGAAATGATTTGAAAAATATTATAGGTTATGTTCTTTTTATGATTAATTTTGTTATTAATTTGATCAATGTTTGAATGAATAAGAAAGAAGATTGTATTCTAAGGGAATTTACATTGATGATTTTGATTTTATAATTGCAGGAAAACCCATGTCGACATCCGACCATAATCCTAAAAGATGTCACAGCATCGGATGTGGCATCCCTATTACGTTTTATGTATTATGGAGAAGTTAACATTGGTCAAGAACAATTGGCAGGATTTTTGCAAACGGCACAATCACTTCAAGTCCGAGGATTAGCTGATGTAAATAGTGGTATTGTTACTGCCAGAATGCCCCCACAACCTTCCTCGAGTGGTAACAATTGCAGTGCACCTGTAAGTATCGTTTGATTTCACTATTTTTCCCTTTGGTAATAATGATAACTTAAGATTGGGATTATGTTGTATTAAAATGATGTATTGACTGTGTCCCATGTTTCTTATTTTTAAAATAAAAACAATACTTAAATATTATTCAACAATATTTGATAAATTTAGATTGAGGTTATGTTAAATTGAAATAATATGGTAGCAAATGATTCACGTTGACTGTGTTTCTTTTTGTTTAGAATAATAAAAAAAAAATAAATAACAAATTTGTGAAAGATAAAATAAAAATGTAACGTAAATTATTAAAATAAAAAATATCGTTTGATATTTTTATTTCTTTTTATAGGCAACCCCACGTAATACTTGGCAAGATAACGGAAGAGACCTTAACGATGACGACTGTAGTCCACCGCCAGATAAAAGGGCTAGAAGTTATAGTCCTCAAAGGGATAATAACACCGAACCTAAAACAGATTTACAGGAATCACTACTGGGACAAGCTCTTGAAGGTGGACCAACGATACATACAACTCCGTCGAATAACATTCAGGTTATTATTTAGAATTATTTTAATTAATTTAAACCAAACAGAATTATAATTGTATGTTTTATTTATTTGTTTCAAAATAGACATTAACTTCTTTTTTTTTATAAACAAATCAAATATGTCGTTTACATCATATCACATTTGTTTGGGTTATTATACTTTAACGTTACTTATAAATATTTTAAAGTTAGGGTTGCGTCAAGATTATCAAAGATTCCAAAGAAACAAAACAAAAAATTCATAGTTGATTTTGTTTATTTTTCTAGGCACAATCAATTGGCGAAGATTCGAATTCAATGTCCGACAACGAAGATATTTCTAACAACGAAAGTATTCTGAACTCGGTTAAAACGGAACCAAGCGAATTAATGAACGATTCATCGATGGAACATCATCGTAGTAATTTTCCAGCCTCTCTTTTGAATCTACAAGGTATTTATATTATAAAACTATCAAAATAACAATTACAAATAATATAATTCAACATTTATTTATTATTTTTAACTTGAACGATTCCTTCAATATATCATAAATCAAATATATTTTTTCTTTAAATAAATAATAAAATAATTTATTGATTACAGGACTAATGCCAGGACCGTCAGGAATTCATGCATCTAATCAGGATCCAAATTATGGTAAGTCAAATGATTTTTTTGCACGATCATTGGAACTTTTTCATTTTTCGATACGATCTCGTAGATCCTAGTTAACCCTCCCGTCGAATATTTATGACTCCTCTATTTATATAAACAATACAAACCAAAATTAAGGTATATATAAAAGGAAAATATTTAACAAAAATAAAAAGAAAATAAATAATTAAAATAAAATAAAGAAAAACAAACAAAGAAGAAGGACTCTTCGTCTCTCGTTGTTACCGTTGAATGCATGGAACTCTCGTACCTCTCACACCCCTTTGCATTTCTCCTCACCACCACCACTTTTATTTTTTTTTCTTTCAATTAAAAAATCATATTTGAATTTACATTATTCTTTTCGAATATTAATCCGCTTTTCGAGAAACAAAAAAAAAATAAAAGAAAATAAGAAAACCCACTTACGGTACTTCCGTCCGTACTGTGCGTATTTCTTTCATACGCACGAAATTATTATTATTATTATTTTTATTATTATTATTATTATTATTATTATTATCCTTTCTTTCCGTTCCTATTCCTTTTTTTTTTCTTTCATTTTTCCATTTTCTTTCTTTTTTTAATTATTTTATCAAATAACCGCCCCGCCTCCAACCCCCACCACCAAGAAAACGTATAATCACGAGAAACGATGCGATTCGTCGTCTAAATCGAAAACTCGTTTCGTATTCGTTAAGAAAGTAAAATTAAAATTAAAATTAAATTTTAAATTTAAATTTAAATTTTAAAATGAACATTTTATTCAATTAAAAAAAAAAAAAAAAGAAACGAAAAAAGGACAGATAAAATTGTACGAAAGAAATTGAAAGTGTGTGAGCATATATGTGTGAGTGAAAGAGAGTACGATAGATTAAAAAAAAAGGGAGAGAATAAATGAGAGAATGAAAGAGTAAGAGAGAGAAAGAGAGAGAGAGAGAGAAATTGAAATTTCAATTCTATTTAGTTAACAATTAGTTTAAAAAAAAAAAGGAGAACAGGGGTGGGTACAAACGAATGAGATTTGCAACGAGCCCGAAAGAAAAATGGGGGAATAGAAAAAAAAAATTTATAAACGGCAAAATGAGATTAGGATACAAAGTGATTGTAATAAAAGTAAAAAAAAAAATTAAGAATCGGAAAAAAGGGCTGTTGCGGGAGGAAAAAAAGGTTTGACTAGTGTTTAAGGGATCGTACGAGATTGGACGAGGACTGACATTGGCTGGTGGTTCCAGGGCGGTGGCAGCCCTCTGGTGGAGATGGTTCAAGCTCGAGTTCTGCTTGGGTTCCTGGTACACCAACGACGAAAAGCGAACCTGCCGGACCTGATACTTACCAGATTAGTGGATCGCACAACACTAAAGGGCAGGACCTAGCCTCCTTACTTCATCATCATCATCCTCCTCCTCCTCCTCATCACCACCATGCCACCAGCCAACAGTCACAGAAACGTAACCTGAACACTCTCAACTCCTTGAACAGTATTAGTAGCGAACAACTTACGGTAATGCAGCAGAAACTACAGAATTTTAAGGCCTTACAACAACAACAACAACAACAACAACAACTACAACAGACCCAGCAACAACAACAACAACAACAATCACAGCAACAGCAACAACAAGTGTCATCAAAAAGTGATCAATTGCGTATGATGTTTCAAAGTTGTACGAAAGAAAAAATAGATAGCATCGCAATGTTGCATCAAGGCTATCGCCGTTTTCAACAATTTGAAGCTGGCAATCAACCTGGCAAACCTAAATGCCCGGAATGCGGTAAAATCTATTCGAACAATTCTAATCTGAAACAACACATCGTCAACGTGCATACCGTACAAACTGAATTTATATCTTGTCACGTATGCAACAAGATGTTCAAAACTAAACAGTATTTGCAAATTCATTTGTTATCGATGCACGGTATCAGGAAAAGAAAAAGTTATCCCCTTTATCAGATGACCACTCACGCTCAAGCTCAACAACAGAGTCAACAACAACAGCAGCAGCAACAACAACAACAACAACAACAACAACAACAACAGCAACAATCTACATCATCGCAACAGTATCCATCAGCTGATAGGTGGTCAGAAGAAAAACAGTGATGAGCTACTACTGCAACTATCAACAATTAATTACCACTACTAAAAGATAACACACACAGTTTAATAGTTTAAGTAAAACCTACTCTTTTTATTTTTATTTAAATGTTTTTCCTCTAATCGTTCTAAGCCCACGTAAAACCCTAGTAACGTTTTTCGTGTATATACCAGTTGTACATAACCTAAAAAAAAAAAAAGAAAAGAAAGACAGAAAAGGAACCGAAGAAAACGTTAATACTAGCGGACAAAAAAAAATCTTGTACATAAGACTAAAAGACTATAAAGGCTAGTCACTTCGCATATATATATATGTATACACCCTTTCCTTTTATCAAGGGAAGGGGGAGGGTTGAAAAGAAGACGTGGGCGCGGAGGTGTCGATAGGTAAGAGAGAAGTGTAGGTGGGAGGGGTGGATGAGTGGTCTAGGGAAAGAAAGAAAGGGGTGGTTGGTAGAAGAGAGAAAGGGGAAGTGAAGTGGGGAGGGGGTAGGCCGACCTATTTTCGTACAGTGCGCCTACCGCAGTGCGCAGGGTGTTCGCCCTTCGACGCTTCGATAAGTAGGCCTCCTCGATTGACCGACGATGAGAGAAAGACAGAAAAATACTGTAGGAGGGATTACAGAAGGTTGGGAAGGGGCTATTGCAGTGAGGAAAGAAATAGGGGGTTGGAACTTGTGTCTGAAAAATTTGCTCTCCTTAAAAAACGGCCTGATGTGTGCAGAAAAAAAACTGTATCACCGTATATATGACCAGCCCTCATTTTTCTTCCTTCAATGCTATCTGACGCAAGTCAACGAGTTAGGATTTAAGCTAGGGTGGGGGAAGGGTAAATTTTTAACCCATCTTCTTAATCTACGATCGAATAGGAAATGAATGGAGGAATTATGAGGACAAAAAAAAAATATAGAAAATCGTTACGAGACGATTATTGGACTAATTTTACCCTAAGGATAGGAAATGAAGGGTTTTACCTCAAACAGCAAGACCACATCTGCTGAATTCGTCAAATCTTCTTCTTTTTCTTCTTCTTCTTCTTCTTCTTCTTGCACTACCCTTGATTAATTTTTTTTCATGTTCCCTACTCTTAAGATCGATAAAAATATATTCGTGTGTATATTTGAGTATAGATGTATGTATGAGTGTGAGTATTAAATAGAAAGAAGGGATGAGAATTTAATTATTAAAATGTATAATATGAATTCAACGTACATATGGTCAAGCATGTATGTGTGTATGTGTGTATATAATACGTTTTGATAGTATTAGTATAAAAATGCATTTAAACGATTAATATTTTTTTTTGGCAAGGAATGATTTTTTGTTTTAAATGAAAACCAAACTTTTGTTAATTACTTTTTATTCTTATTCTTTTTCTTGACTTTTTTATTCTCATCATCGATCTAAAAAACATGTTTCGTTATTCAGTATTTATAGAAAAGTTAAAAGTTAAGTTTGGGATTTGACAGATGGATGAGAAAGAGAAAGAGAATAAGAGAGAGAGAGAGAGAGATTACGTGCTTCGCATGCATCAACACACACACACACATATTCACATTCACATTCACATGCTAACGGAATCGCGAGGGAGAGAAACTGAGTGCGTCGTATTGATCTTCACAATTCAACAAACAGCACGTAGTGCTATACACTATCTCACTTACTCTAACTCAAACTGAAACTATCCTAACTCTTCTTCTATCACTTTTGCACTATCTTCTGTCACACCTCTTCCTCTTATACTTCTTCTATTCTCACAGATAGACATCTAACATTTCTAAACATGTATAGAAGAAGTACCAAATGTGGGTGTTCTCACCTAAAATTTCTCAACAAATCGATTTCGATTACTTTCTCCCTCCTGTTTTTTTTTTTTTTTTTGATACTTTCATTTTCACCCTTAATTTCAAATCACGAAATCATTTCATATTTATCAAATCCGACCCCTGGACACCCCTCGATTATTCCCCACCATGATCTATTGGGTTCACCTAACCTAGAAGAATATTTAGCAAGCAAGGTAACAAACTACTAGATTAGTCTAGGTTGCCACGCCTGGTTTCGATCCCTAACGGATCACCGATTTCTAAAAGAGAAAGAGAGAGACCCAACAAAACTTATTTCACGAGACACGCAACTAACTTCGATGTACGATCGTCAACCACGCGATGAAAAAGTTTCCCATTTGGTCTTACCTAAGAGTTCTATTACTAATCCTCCCCATTCTGACTAAACAGAACAGAACACCTCACCCCCAGCCCACCCCCTATTCCTTCCAACCCTAAAACGATCTCTCATCATCCCCCCTAACCCCCCAATTCACGTTACAACAAGGTTATCCATTTCCGTGCTTTCTATTTTCACGATTACTACTCTCTTCTTCAATCCCATTCATCTTTTCTTTCTTCTATTGGGTTTTGGAAGATGTCAAAATAAAATAATAGTTCCAAGTTAAACGTTAGGTTCTTCCAATTGGTTACAATACCCAAATCCTCCTAGTTCTGATGTATAACAACTTTTTATAAACCCAATAACGTTTGCTAATATTTTTATTATTTTCTAACATCATCATAAAAGTACTCTGGTTGGTTGATTACCTTTCAAAGCTCAAAGCTTGTTTTAAAAGCCCTAACACTCTACTTGCACTCTATGAGTAAAATAAGAAAATGATCTAAACCCATTGACATGAAAAATCTAGGGATGATCTTTTAATCGTCCAGGTGATTTGATACTTTACACAAAACAAAAAAGATCTTTGCCAATATTTTGCGTAACTTTGATCATGGAATAGATGTTAATATGATAAACCAACTTACAAGAGAACTCTTTTTTGATTTATAATCCTTAAAAGAATTACACGTCAAAGATCATCTTTCCTTTTCTCAAACATACAACACACACATAGTTCATCCCATACCTAAACCAAGCAACTTTTCCAATACCAGCAGAATTTTATTTCCCTGGTTAAACCAAGGATCACGTTTTTCCTCACTGTGTGTTACTAAAAGCCCTGAAGATCGCGTTTTATCCTTAGATTAGAGTCATCTATCACTCGTATCCCGATCCCGGGATAACTTTGGCATTCGTTTCAGTTTCGGACTCCGATTCTTATCGGACTGACGAGTTTTTTTTGTTTGTTTGCCGATAAAAGAAAGAAAGAAAGAAAGAAGATAACAAAAAGAAAAGGAAGAGGAAAGAATACAATCTTTTACTTATATTTTTTGTTTGTTGGTGTCCTTGTTTCTCATTCGACGTAAGTTCAAAGTATACGCACTTGGTGAATCGTAAAAAAGAGAAAAAAAATAGGAGGGTGGATTGAAGTTTAGTGAGGGACCAGTTGGGTTCGAGAGGGATGCCATTGCGTGAGTACACGTTGTCCACGCCCATTTTCACGTACGTGTATGTAATACAAATGTGTATGTATGTTTGTATGTATGTGTGTGTGTGTGTGTGTGTATGAGTGAAAACGTTACCCTCTTCTTCTATGTACCAACGTAGTTAAGAAAAGTAAGATTCTCTTTCGTCATCCCTCATGTTCCCTTAACCACCAACCCCCTTCTCACTTTACCCTCGGCTTCCAAACCATCCTAAACATCAACCCCCACATCTCTTACTTTCCTAATCTTTTCTGACCACCCCATTCTCCCACGCTTTTATCATCCCTTCCGACAAAAATTCATACTCGTTCCTATGACCTTCAAAAAATTATTTTCATCATTCCATTAATTGATAATTTTTATTTTAACTTTGACTCGTATTTTTTAACAACTAATCCGAATTGTTGATTTTTTTTTGGGTGCCATATTGTTATGTACGTATACGTGTAAAGCGTGTGTGTATGTGTGTGTGTTTGTATGAAATGGGGGAGGGTAGGTATAAGCGGTTGTCCTTGATCTTTTCCTTTTCTTCAATCGTTCAACATGGTCCAGCTATCTTTATCCCTTTCTTTCTTATTTTCCTTTTTTCTTCTGTTACCTCCCTTAATGTCTGGAAATCCCCTTTTCTTCGGTTTCACCCTACTCTCTAAGAGGATATCCACGTGCCGGAGGAAAACTTTATACGGTATATTGCGTCGTTCGGACAAATGACAATCGCAATTCCCTCTTGGAATCTGTCGCATTCGTCTACGTCATTCTAGCAAATCGTTACGTATTTTTTTCAACCCCCAACCACCCCCAATCTCTTTTTCTTTTTTTCTTATTCTACTATTCTCGTTATTTGTTACGTCAAATTTAGATTCACAGAACAAAAAATAAAACAAAAATAGGAATAAAAATAAGAAATTGTAGAAATGATTTCATTAATTGATTGCACACATTTGATTCAAAATTCGAATTAAACATTTAAAAACAATTGAACAATAATTTTTATGAATAAATAAAAGGTTATATTTATTTAAAAAAATTGATTAAAACCAACAGAAAGAGTATAAACTTCAATGCAACCATCACTCAATTGCAATCAAACTATATTTTAACCTAAAAAATAATTACTTAACAATTTCTATTAATATAACTTTAAAGAAAAAGGTTAAACTATATTGTTAATGAAAAAAAAAAAAAAACAAATAAAAAACTAAATCTACAAATCGAATGGAAAGAAAGTTGTACGTCGTAAAAGTTAGAAACCCACAGACAATGAAATAGTAGTTGTAGTAGTATAGGAGGAATAGGGTGATAGTGATAGTGATGGGAATGGTGATGGTGATGGTGATGGGAATGGTGATGTTGATGGTGCCAGTGGTTTCTAGCTTCTCCAAGTTCCGCGTACCACATGCCGCAGCACCCGATGGTATTCCCTCATCGTAGGTACGCTCAATATCGTCGTCACGAATACTCCGTTTACTTCTCCACCTCTTCCACCTCCTCCTCCTCCTCCAGCCCCTCTCTTTCTCTTTCACCCTAAGCACTCCTAGTCGTTTGGGATCGATCGTTGCCATTTGAGAATGGAAACGATAAAGAAGAATACCAATCTCTCACAAATGCAACAACAACAACATCAACATCAGCGACAACTAGTTATTACATCAATTATCAAAACAGTGTACTTATTGGTTTAATGGAATAGCAGAAACATAATTATTCTTTACAAATCATTAGTTCAAAATGTAACATACAGAACACATGCAATAACTGCAACTGCAACAACAACAACAACAACAACAACGACAGCAACTAGTTATTACATCAATTATCAAAACAGTACACCTATCAATGGATCAATATCAAAAACAGTGATACTTGACAAACCATAAGTTAAAAATGTATTCTACGAACACCCATCTACATTCACATGCAATAACTGCAACACAACAACAATATTAGTAACTACTATTACATCAATTACTAAAAGAGCATACCTATCAACAAATTAATATGAAAAACAGTGATATTTAACAAATCATAAGTTAAAAATACATTCTACAAAAATCCATCTACATTCACATGCAATAACTACAACACAACAAGAACAATATTAGCAACTACAGTTACATCAATTACGAAAACACCAAACCTATTAGCAAATCAATATGAAAAACAGTGATACTTAACAAATCATGAGCTCAAAATGTAACATACAAAACACATGCAATAACTGCAACTTGATCAACAATTATAAACTGATAATAATCAAACTAACAAAACAATTGTTTACTAAAAAAAAATGTCTAAATTAACAAGACAACATACACATATATAGACCATACTTTGGCAAGAAGATTGATTAAGCTTCTGCCGTAGCCATACCTTCCCCCTTTCACCTCCACCACCTTCTTCACCTTCACCAATACTACTACCACCCACGCGAAGTATATTAAAGACGTGACCCGACATAAAGGATCCTCGTCTTCTTGGAATCTTCTATCTTCCTTCTTCCTTCTTCCAACAACCACTTCTCGCAAACTTCTCTATCTCTGACCACATTGATTTTCTTCACGACCAGACCCTACCATCCTTCCCTCCAACTACTCATCCCTTCTTCCCTAACCTCTCCCTTTCCTTTCCTTTCCTTTCCTTTTCTTCAACCTATTTCATATTTTTTCTTTTCTTTTGCTTTTCTTATTCGTCATCGAATAGTTTTCTTCATATTCTCTGATAATACTAGCAAACTCTTTCACAAAGTTACACATAAGTATGAGGAAACGTGAACGAACCAAGTTGGCCAGTTGTTATCGTCCCTTTTTTAGTCTACCATAGTATTCCTAGATACTTCCTCATCGTTCATTCTACTTGTTTACTCTTACTGTAATCCAGAAGAGCATCTT